CCGACACACACTCGTTTATGGTGACGTTCGACACACACTCGTTTATGGTGACGCCCGACACACACTCGTTTATGATGACACTCGACACACACTCGTTTATGGTGACGCCCGACACACACTCGTTTATGGTGACGCTCGACACACACTCGTTTATGATGACGCTCGACACACACTCGTTTATGGTGACGCCCGACACACACTCGTTTATGGTGACGCCCGACACACACTCGTTTATGGTGACGCTCGACACACACTCGTTATGGTGACGCTCGACACACACTCGTTTATGGTGACGCTCGACACACACTCGTTTATGGTGACGCTCGACACACACTCGTTTATGGTGACGCTCGACACACACTCGTTTATGGTGACGCCCGACACACACTCGTTTATGGTGATGCTCGACACACACTCGTTTATGGTGACGCTCGACACACACTCGTTTATGGTGACGCTCGACACACACTCGTTTATGGTGACGCTCGACACACACTCGTTTATGATGACGCTCGACACACACTCGTTTTATGGTGACGCCCGACACACACTCGTTTATGGTGACGCTTGACACACACTCGTTTATGATGACACTCGACACACACTCGTTTATGATGACATCGACACACACTCGTTATGGTGACGCTCGACACACACTCGTTTATGATGACCTCGACACACACTCGTTTATGGTGACGCCCGACACACACTCGTTTATGGTGATGCTCGACACACACTCGTTTATGGTGACGCTCGACACACACTCGTTTATGGTGACGCTCGACACACACTCGTTTATGGTGACGCTCGACACACACTCGTTTATGGTGACACTCGACACACACTCGTTTATGGTGACGCCCGACACACACTCGTTATGGTGACGCTCGACACACACTCGTTTATGATGACACTCGACACACACTCGTTTATGGTGACGCCCGACACACACTCGTTTATGGTGATGCTCGACACACACTCGTTTATGGTGACGCTCGACACACACTCGTTTATGGTGACGCTCGACACACACTCGTTTATGGTGACGCTCGACACACACTCGTTTATGATGACACTCGACACACACTCGTTTATGGTGACGCCCGACACACACTCGTTTATGGTGACGCTCGACACACACTCGTTTATGATGACACTCGACACACACTCGTTTATGGTGACGCCCGACACACACTCGTTTATGGTGACGCTCGACACACACTCGTTAATTGGTGACGCTCGACACACACTCGTTTATGATGACTCTCGACTATGATGACACTCGACACACACTCATTTATGATGACACTCGACACACACTCGTTTTATGGTGACGCCCGACACACACTCGTTTATGGTGACGCTCGACACACACTTGTTTATGGTGACGCCCGACACACACTCGTTTATGATGACGCTCGACACACACTCGTTTATGGTGACGCTCGACACACACTCGTTTATGGTGACGCTCGACACACACTCGTTTATGATGACACTCGACACACACTCGTTTATGGTGACGCCCGACACACACTCGTTTATGGTGACGCTCGACACACACTCGTTTATGGTGACGCTCGACACACACTCGTTTATGATGACGCTCGACACACTCTCGTTTATGGTGACGCTCGACACACACTCGTTTATGGTGACGCTCGACACGCACTCGTTTATGATGACACTCGACACACACTCGTTTATGGTGACGCTCGACACACACTCGTTTATGATGACTCTCGACTATGATGACACTCGACACACACTCGTTTATGGTGACGCTCGACACACACTCGTTTATGGTGACGCTCGACACACACTCGTTTATGATGACACTCGACACACACTCGTTTATGGTGACGCCCGACACGCACTCGTTTATGATGACACTCGACACACACTCGTTAATGGTGACGCTCGACACACACTCGTTTATGATGACTCTCGACTATGATGACACTCGACACACACTCGTTTATGGTGACGCTCGACACACACTCGTTTATGGTGACGCTCGACACACACTCGTTTATGATGACTCTCGACTATGATGACACTCGACACACACTCGTTTATGGTGACGCTCGACACACACTCGTTTATGGTGACGCTCGACACACACTCGTTTATGATGACTCTCGACACACACTGGTTTATGATGACGCTCGACACACACTGGTTTATGATGACGCTCGACACACACTCGTTTATGATGACTCTCGACACACACTGGTTTATGATGACGCTCGACACACACTCGTTTATGGTGACGCTCGACACACACTCGTTTATGATGACTCTCGACTATGATGACACTCGACACACACTCGTTTATGGTGACGCTCGACACACACTCGTTTATGGTGACGCTCGACACACACTCGTTTATGATGACTCTCGACACACACTAGTTTATGATGACGCTCGACACACACTCGTTTATGGTGACGCTCGACACACACTCGTTTATGGTGACGCTCGACACACACTCGTTTATGGTGATGCTCGACACACACTCGTTTATGATGACGCTCGACACACACTCGTTTATGGTGACGCTCGACACGCACTCGTTTATGATGACGCTCGACACACACTCGTTTATGGTGACGCTCGTTTATGGTGACGCTCGACACACACTCGTTTATGATGACGCTCGACGCACACTCGTTTATGGTGACGCTCGACACACACTCGTTTATGATGACGCTCGACACACTCGTTTATGGTGACGCTCGACACACACTCGTTTATGGTGACGCTCGACACACACTCGTTTATGATGACGCTCGACACACACTCGTTTATGGTGAAGTTCGACACACACTCGTTTATGGTGACGCTCGACACACACTCGTTTATGATGACGCTCGACACACTCGTTTATGGTGACGCTCGACACACACTCGTTTATGGTGACGCTCGACACACACTCGTTTATGATGACGCTCGACACACACTCGTTTATGGTGACGCTCGACACGCACTCGTTTATGATGACGCTCGACGCACACTCGTTTATGGTGACGCTCGACACGCACTTGTTTATGATGACGCTCGACACACACTCGTTTATGGTGACGTTCGACACACACTCGTTTATGGTGACGTTCAACACACACTCGTTTATGGTGACGTTCGACACACACTCGTTTATGGTGACGTTCGACACACACTCGTTTATGGTGACGTTCGACACACACTCGTTTATGGTGACGCTCGACACACACTCGTTTATGGTGACGTTCGACACACACTCGTTTATGGTGACGTTCAACACACACTCGTTTATGGTGACGTTCGACACACACTCGTTTATGGTGACGTTCAACACACACTCGTTTATGGTGACGTTCGACACACACTCGTTTATGGTGACGTTCAACACACACTCGTTTATGGTGACGTTCGACACACACTCGTTTATGGTGACGCTCGACACACACTCGTTTATGGTGACGTTCGACACACACTCGTTTATGGTGACGTTCAACACACACTCGTTTATGATGGAGGGAGAACGGCCGATTGCAGAAACTTACTGTTTTATTACTGTATTTTGAGCCAATTCCTACGGTGGCCGAGAGGTGCAAAACAAATCACAATTATAAAAACAAAAAAACAAGTCAGAAAACACAACGACAATTCAGAAAACAAAATAACAATTCAGAAAACACAACAACGAATCTGAAAACAAATTAACAAGTCAGAAAACACAACGACAAGTCAGAAAAACTGAAAAGGTAGGTATTTGTGACGAATGGAATACTGATCGCTGATTGGACGAGACATCTGTCAATCAAGACATACAGGCAGCAGAAAGATCGATTCGCGTGTGCATGTGTAAATATTAGCTGTATCGTCTAGGCTAGGGCTATTTCAATTGGCGGCCCGCCAATCATCTCCATGCGGCCCGAGAGCACTCCAACCTCCCCCTTCTATTTTCTGGTGGTGCGGCTAAATTTGGTTTGATATGCGCGTGGCCGCAGTGGCTAGGGTTAGTGTCGAGGTTAATGTCTCGTCCAATCAGCGATCAGTATTCCATTCGCCACATATACCTACCTTTTCCGTTTTGTCTGACTTGTCGTTGTGTTTTCTGACTTGTTAATGTGTTTTCAGATTTGTTTTTGTGTTTTCTGACTTGTTAATGTGTTTTCAGATTTGTCGTTGTGTTTTCTGACTTGTTAATTTGTTTTCAGATTTGTTTTTGTGTTTTCTGATTTGTTAATTTGTTTTCAGATTTGTCGTTGTGTTTTCTGACTTGTTTTTTTGTTTTCATAATTGTGATTTGTTTTGCACCTCTCGGCCACCGTAAATTCCCCAGGAAGTGATGATTGTGTTCTGGGATGGAAACACTTATTCATAGTTGATTTATGATATTATTACAATCATCAAGGTAAATTCATAACTTTGAGAATCAGTTTGCTGAGTGTGAGCGTGTGACGCTGAGTCAGGAGTTACACGACCTCCTTAAACAAGATTGTGCAGCAGATCTGTCATCGTCATCCTCTTCATCACTGACAGCTGTCAGATACACACACACACACGCACACACACACATTTATTGGCTGTAGTTTATAAAGATGAGCAGAACTCAGGTCTCAGATCAGTGGATGTGTGACTGGTTTTGTCCGTCCTTCTGTTGGACTCTCACACATGAATTATGTTGAATATCTGTCAGCTGTTCAATTAGATAATACCAGTTTAGCTCAACCAGTGACCAATGAACCACTGAACGTGTGTGTGTGTGAATGACAGAAAACACACTTCAGCAGAACATCATCAGCTCAGAGTGTGTGTAATGTGTGTAAATGTCACTGTAGTCTCTGTGTGAAGAATATGTGTGTGTAATATAGTGCAGTTTACTTTATTCTGCTCTCCTCACTCACACACACACACACACACACACACACACACACATGAACTATAGTGTCCTGATCACACTCGTGACACTGGTGTGTGTGAATCTCTCCTGCTGTGAGTGTGTCCTGATGTGTTTAGATGTAAACTCTGAGGAGGAACGGCATGTTGGTCCCGACGCAGTAAAGCAGGGGCTGCAGACACACACGTGCTGATCGTGTGTGTGTGAGTGTGTGTGTGTGTGTGTTGGCTCACGTTCACTGAAGACGAAGTCGCTGGCGATGTCGAAGGGCTGGATCTGTGTGTCGTACATGAAGACGCTGACGCCCTTCTGATGGTCACTGGAGATCATGGTGAGCGTCTGCTGAGCCGAACACACGTACGAGCGTCCAGCGGGGGTGACCAGCGCGGAGAGGAGGTGTGTGCTGGCCGTGTGCTTCCCCGCTGCACACACACACACACACACACACACCAGAACTCTGATCAGCAGAAGCATCTTTTATTCACTGCAGTTCTGGATAAAGATTGAACAAACAGTCGCAAATCGGTGTGTGTGTGTGTGTGTGTGTGTGTGTGTGTGAGCGCAGTGATGGTGTGTGTGTGGGTGTGAGTGTGTGTGTGTGAGCGCAGTGATGGTGTGTGTGAGCGCAGTGATGGTGTGTGTGTGTGTGTGAGCGCAGTGATGGTGTGTGTGTGGGTGTGAGTGTGTGTGTGTGAGCGCAGTGATGGTGTGTGTGTGTGTGTGTGTGTGTGTGTGTGTGAGCGCAGTGATGGTGTGTGTGTGTGTGAGCGCAGTGATGGTGTGTGTGTGTGTGAGCGCAGTGATGGTGTGTGTGTGTGTGTGTGTGTGTGTGTGTGAGCGCAGTGATGGTGTGTGTGTGTGTGTGTGTGTGTGTGTGAGCGCAGTGATGGTGTGTGTGTGTGTGTGTGCAGTGATGTCGCAGTGGAGGACTCGGATCTGTAACGCTCGGCTTTGTGTCTCAAACTAAAAAGTTGCCGAAGAAGAGCTCATCAATCCTGATCCGCAGGTTAGATCCAGATCAGACGTTCCTGAGTTTAGAGCATCAAAGCACTAATGATGTCCTAATTAATCTTCATCTGTAACGATCATAGCTCTTGTTGTGTTTTACTCACGATTATAAGCGTTGATGAAGTGTGTCTTCTCTGACGTGTCATAAACCAGCTGGACCTTGTTCATCTTCCACACGTCAGTTTCCTTGGCTTTTCCATCGCTGCCCATCGTATGTTTCTCCTACACACACACACACACACACACACACGCATGAATAATCCACATGAAACAGTGCAGTGATGGACAATCATCAGTTTCTGCTCAGATCCAAACCTTTGAGAAGAAGATTCGGAAGGTGAAGGCGTGATTGATCCATGAGATGTGGAGCTCCGACTCGGTGTTCCCGCATTTCCCAGCAATCTGAGCTCCACGCGGGATTGACACGGATGCCTGCTCCGTTATCAGCTACACACACACACACACACATAAATATATATATGATATAAGCATCATCTCATGTTTTAATTTTCCAAATGCTTAAAGCATCCTGACGGGATGAGCAGGATAAAGATGTGAATCAAGGATCAAATCCAACTGGAATCCGTGTTGCTGTTTTTATTCAACGAGATCAACTCATCAGTTCATTTAGGATTCAGTGAGACAGAGTAGAGTCGCTCACATCGATTCCGTTCAGCGCCAGAACATCGTATGGAATCAGGAATTTCACCGCAAACTCCGCCATCAAGCAGGTCGTTTCATTTTCCCGGACCACAAAAATCTCCCGGTCGGGATTCGCTGACAGCCCGGAGAGATTCTCCACCTCCTGCTCCGCAGAAACACTGAGCGCTGACAGAGAGCCTGTGGGAAACCAGGAGAAATCAGGAGAAAACCAGAAGAAACCGGGAGGAAAACAGGAGAAAAAACAGAAGAAACCAGGAGAAACCAGGAGAAAACCGTGAAGAAACCGGGAGTAAACGGGAAAAAAATAGGAGAAAACAAGAGAAAATCAGGAGGAAACCAGAAGAAACCGGGAGGAAAACAGGAGAAAACAGGAAAAAAAAAACAGAAGAAAACCAGGAGAAAACGGAAAAAAAATCAGGAGAAAACAAGAGAAAACAGGAGAAAACAGGAGGAAACCAGGAGCAAATCCAGTCTCACACACAGTTAATGAGTGTCGCCTGTTCTACTCTATTTCTATTGTGTTCTATTGTGTCCGGAGCTGCTCTTTGTTTCGTCCAGCGGGTTTGAGACACACAGTTTCTCTGCAGTGAAACAAGAAACACACACATTCTCTTCTGGACACTAAAGTCTAATCTAACACACTGGAGAAACTCCAACTGAACGCAGATTTCCTCAGTTTCCCTTCAGGGATCTGATCTGTGCTACTCATTCTGATAAATCAGTAGTGTAATAATAATTAATACATGTAACAGAATCAAACTCCCAGCAGTTCATCCTCAGCTACTGTACAGTAACTAACTGTAAGTTGATCAAAAACGAGCCTCATCTGATGAAGTTTGCACCAATGATTCTGCCGTTTTCCCGCTCGCGAAGCTGCGTATCGCACGCGCCAGTGCCGTATAACGCGCTACAGCAAAACACAAACTCTAGGTTATGATGCCATAAACATGCGAGCAGAACTTACCGAGCAGCAGAAGTGCAGCGCAGAGAAACTCCATCATGAAGAGAAGATCCTGCAGGGAATGAGCGGAAGATTCCAGAGGAACTCCAGCATCAGATGCAGGTGCGCGTGATTCACGCCTGCAGACGCTCGCGACGCGCACGCATCACTCGTGCGCTCGGACACTCCGCGGACCCCGCACTGCAGCGCGGCACGAGCCCGCGTCCCGCGATCATCATCATCATCATCATCAGCCGTGGGCTTCACTGCTGCTCGCGCACGGTTCAGTCCTTCGGCGGGTTTGCGCAGGGAAACGCACTAAAGGGAAAGCCTTTCTGCAGGGGATGCACTTTATTGCATTTAGTAGAAAAACTCAAATATCCTTTTATGGGACACTGGGGTTAGTTGTCACATGGTCTGCATCTTCAGGATCTATCAGGGCTTTAATGCGTATTAGAACACTGTCATAGAATAGAATCATTTTCCAGCAATATACAATAAAACACACTCGCATACATTCAGACAAGTATTTATTTTTTTCTTTTCATAATCCATAAACGTAGTTTGTTGTGCGTAGTTTTAAGAAATTCGTTAATTACAGTTTCTGATGTCAGCATGTTTTGTAAAACATTTCTTGATTGCCTTTTTTAATGCGGAGGCTATACAGGTTATATTGTGACAACTTACCCCATATCGTGTGCCAATAGTGTGTTTCTATATCTGCTCTGGGGGTGTTAACGAGTCTTAAACGGAGAAGAAGAAAAAAAAAAAACACGTTCACCATTATCGACCGGGGCACAACCAATTTTTCCAGTAACTGTAAATATATATTATTTTTTTGTTGTCGTAGTTAAGGCTATCAGGGTTGTGTCTAAACAGAAATTAACTTCCAAAAATAAACTACTGTGACAACTATCCCCGATCTGCCCTAACACAAATGCCTGATATTCTAAACACTGGCACGAAAAAGAGTCATATCAATTTTGGTAACACTTTACAAAAAGGTTCGTTAGTAACATTAGTTAATGTATTTCCTAGAATGAACAATACATTTGTTACTGTATTTATACATTTTTGTTAATGTTAGTTAATAAAAATTCAGCTGTTCATTGTTTGTTCATGTTAGTTCACAGTGCATTAATAATATTAACCTTTGATTTGAACAACATATTAGTAAATGCGTGAATTATAACTAAGATTGATAAATGCTGAAGTATTGTTCATTCTTAGGTAATGTTGTGTTATAACTTTTAATCCAGAACACATCTAGTCTGTTCCACAGATTGGCATCAGCTGCAGGAAAATGTGGAAAATGTCCAGAACGCTAAGCCCATTTACGGCCCAAAACAGTTCACATCTCTGTGTGTCCCGTACTCTTGTATCGTACCGAAGCGGCAGCAGGTCGTGCAGCTCACGAGAGCTTCATCCGCTCAGGATCAGGCATTAGGAGCAGCTTTACACTGAAAGTCAAACTCACACTTGACTGCACTAATGCTGTCGATGCTTGGCTTGCTTCCCACTTGAGGATGGCTCTTTCCCAGGGGAAACGTCTCTGACCTCGGGATAGAGTGTCCGGGCGGATCCGAAGATCCACAAGCCTCTCCGCCGCTCCGCTTGAGCTCCGGGAACGTGAACCTCCTCAACAGCCGGCCGCCGAGAGCGCTCACGGATCTGTTCCCGGGGGATTTCCGCTGGGATTTGCTCTTGCTGCGCTCCGGGGCCGCCGCCGCTGCCAGAGCGCTCGTCGGTAAACTGCACCTCTTCTGATAATAACGGTCATCAAACCTCCGGACGGGCAGATGTTTCTTGGCTTTCGCCAGCTCTTCTTTGGCGCTTTTGGAGCCGAAAGGAGTTAATAAAATGCCAAGAGGTCCCGACGGAGGAGAATCAGGAGTGAAGCTTCTCCATGGCGTTTTGAAGGGTCTCGGCGAGTAAAACAGGCCAGGCAAGAGATGGTTCGAGCTGTTACGCAGATCATCCGCGTGTTTATGTGGAGGTTTTGATGAGAACACGAGGCCTTGAGATGAGAACGCATCACTTTCCCTCTCATATTCCTCAATAGAGTCCATCGACTGGATTCGGTTCCGCAAACCAAGGGATTTTTTCCGGGTCAAACCGCCGTGAAGGCGAGTCCCGTCTTCAGGTGGAGCTTTTCTCTCGCTGGGCTTCTCATCTTCATCGATGCTCACGGTGGAAAGCCTCTCAGCCAGCGCGTCGTCATGAATCCTCCTGGAGAGACTCCGGAGCGCCTGTAAACACTCCGTGTGTCCGAGATGCTTCGCCACCTCCACCGCAGAATTTCCCACCTTGTTTTGCCGGTCGATCTGTAGTCCCAGTCTCTTAAAAGCGCGCACCAGGAACTCCACGACGGCGGGACGGCGGGCCACGACGGCGTACATGAGCGGCGTATTCCCCCAGGAGTCCGCCGCCTCGGGATCGGCTCCGTTCTCCACCAGGATCTTGACCGCATCCAGGAATCCCATCTCGCAGGCGTAGCTCAGCGGCGTACGCCCGCTCTCGTCCGGCCGGTTCACACTCGCTCCTCTCTGCAAGAGGAGATTCATGAACCTGCTCCTCGCCTCCGAATCCTGCAGGAACACGGCGGAAACCAGCGGCGTCTGCGCTCCGTCCGTCTCGGAGTCGATGATCTTCCCGTCCAGAGCGTCTAGGATGAACCTGGCCAGGTGGATCTTGTCGTTGGAGATGGCGTCCAGAAGGATCCTGGTGTCGGTCTTGGAGTCGAGCTTCAGCATGTTTAAGACTCGTTCCTCAGGCTATCGTCTCTCCGCCGCGGATCTCCACGCTCTTTATACCTCTGCGCGGTGGAGTTTCCACGACAACACCAATCTCATTATCACACTTTATTGTTCATAAGTGGATGTGTATTAATGTGCTGATTGTAATAAGGGCTTTGGAGAGCGCCAGCTGAATGACATGAATACATGTGGCAATTACTGCATGTGATTATTGACTGGAAAGGGGAGGGTTATCTAACCCTAACCCTACCGATACAGACACCGAAGGCTTTCTTCTTATTCATATCTTTGGATAAATGGCACATTTGCAGCGTTGTACATCCAACAGCTGGACGTGCTTTTTTTCCTGCTATCTGACATATATGAGGGAGATTTGAAAACGCTAAATACATACTCACCAGAGAAGATCATTTACTCTGCACACGTTTGCTGAACATGTAAAGTGCTTTCAGCCACATCTCTATGAAATCAGAGGCGTGTCCACACAGTGAACGAAATGCGCCACAGATCTAACGTAAGTTAGCGAAACAGCTGAAAACATCTACTGGTTCCAAACAAAATCAGGCCAAAACGAAGTCTGGAGTTAGAAAGAGCTTTCTGGAAAAGTTTGTTAAACACCTCTGAACACCCATTGGTCAGTGATGATGATGTAACAGGTGGGTGTGGCTCTGAGGCTCCGCCTTCTTTATCGTGAAAATCTCCGGTTAATTAGTTCTGTTCAGACTGTTGTAAAAACATGAACACTGGAGAACCGTAATTCTTCTTATCCATCATGTTTAATACTGTAAAACGGCAGTCCGTTGTATAAAGTGGTATATGAAGCTTCTTCGGATTATTAAGCGTTCTTCATGCTAAAAAGGTGGTTCTTTTAAGAACAGGTTATTTGGGAAACGGCTCTTCTATGGCATTGCTGTGAAAACACGCTTTTGGAAGCTTTATTTATAAGACTGCAGCGGCCTCCATGAAATGACACGGCAACAGTTTTCATTTAACACCTGGAATAGTTTATTGGTACACATACTATAAAACAGTATTAAAGTAGCAGGATAACAACAGTATTTTTTGAGTATTTTCATTGCTAGAAGTTTGACAAATACGATATACATATATATATATATATATATAAATACAAAAGCACCCACAGCATGGTCCATTGAGCTACAGAGAGACAAACGAATAGAAACGGTGAAATTCAGAGCGACAGTTCTGCAAAAATAATCTGCTTTTCCTGCAAACTATAATTTAGAGCAAAAGTCTACAAGGAAGTCGCACAACAGAAAACATTCATCTAGTGCAAAAAGCTTCTAAGAAATCAAATGTAGTCTTAATCTACCCGCTATAATATATGTATCTTTATATAAATAACCCCTTATTTTGGCATTTATCATAGTAAAATAATTTAAAGGTCCTACATGACATTTAGTGGCACATTTGTAAGCGATGGAGTTTTAAAGCACTTTGCTTTCACACGAGATATGTGGTCACCGCCGAACACTTGGAAACATGATGCAAAAGAAAAGAAGAAAAGGGAACGAAACCAATAAATGGGAAACCCACGACAACCAATATACATATGATTCCAAAATCCCTTAAGTGCTCGGCTAATACAGGCCGGAATAAGCGGTACAATCAATCACCTCTCTTTAAAACAAGTACTGATAGATCAGACCTCCTGAAAGTGAGAGAACACAAACCCAGGTGGAGCCAAAGTTCAGCGTCGTGTCCGAGGAAAGTAAATAGTTTGTGTTGGCGATGCATCCAAATCCCCATGGATCAGGACCTGCAAGCGTCGCCGCTACGAGACTGAGGATCCGTCGCCTACCGAACAGCAAAAGCAAACTCCTTGAGCACCATCTACATCTCAAAGCCTGTTTAAAAAGTGTCACCGTTAAAACGAAACAACATTTGGGTTAAAATGACGTGTACGTCTTAAAAACCGACGGGAGCGGACGATAAAAGCTCGGGACAGCAGTGGAACTCGTGTGGATTCCAGACTCTACATTCTTACTGTACTGAGGAAAGCTAGTGCTCTGCTACATAGTCAAAGGTCCTCGACATCCTATCACATATAAAGTGCTCAGGACATTAAACTAGCGCACCGTTCACAGGTATTGTGCTGACGACATTAACTAAACCGTCTGTTAATCAGACTCGTCCGCTGGCCTGGCTCTGCTACGGCTGAAATACGGCTTGAAAAGTTCACTTTTGAGTCGTCGACCCATCATGGCTGCAGCTCTGCTGATGACGGACGGGCCGCAGCGGACTGTAGAAAAACACGTGTGTGTGACGGGTCTGTCCCACCAGCGCCGTCTTCACCGTGGTGTTAGCTGGTGTGGGCGGGGTTAGAGCTGAGGTAGGGAGAGTGGGCGGGGGTAAAGGCTGAGGTAGGGAGAGTGGGCGGGGTTAGAGCTGAGGTAGGGAGAGTGGGCGGGGTTAGAGCTGAGGTAGGGAGAGTGGGCGGGTTTAGAGCTGAGATGGGGAGAGTGGGCGGGGTTAGAGCTGAGATGGGGAGAGTGGGCGGGGTTAGAGCTGAGATGGGGAGAGTGGGCGGGGTTAGAGCTGAGGTAGGGAGAGTGGGCGGGGTTAGAGCTGAGGTAGGGAGAGTGGGCGGGGTTAGAGCTAAGATGGGGAGAGTGGGCGGGGTTAGAGCTGAGATGGGGAGAGTGGGCGGGGGTAAAGGCTGAGGTAGGGAGAGTGGGCGGGGTTAGAGCTGAGGTAGGGAGAGTGGGCGGGGTTAGAGCTAAGATGGGGAGAGTGGGCGGGGTTAGAGCTGAGATGGGGAGAGTGGGCGGGGTAAAGGCTGAGGTAGGGAGAGTGGGCGGGGTTAGAGCTGAGGTAGGGAGAGTGGGCGGGGTTAGAGCTAAGATGGGGAGAGTGGGCGGGGTTAGAGCTGAGATGGGGAGAGTGGACGGGGTAAAGGCTGAGGTAGGGAGAGTGGGCGGGGTTAGAGCTGAGGTAGGGAGAGTGGGCGGGGTTAGAGCTAAGATGGGGAGAGTGGGCGGGGTTAGAGCTAAGATGGGGAGAGTGGGCGGGGTTAGAGCTAAGATGGGGAGAGTGGGCGGGGTTAGAGCTGAGATGGGGAGAGTGGGCGGGGTTAGAGCTGAGATGGGGAGAGTGGGCGGGGTTAGAGCTGAGGTAGCAAGAGTGGGCGAGGTTAGAGCTGAGGTAGGGAGAGAGGGCGGGGCTAGTGATCTACAGAGGGCAGGGACTCTCAGGGTGAAAGACAGAAGATGGAGCCCGGGGGACAGATGGATGAAGACGGAGCCCGGGGGACAGACTGATGTCTTCAGCACTCGTGACTCGTGTGGGAGATCATGAGGGTTTCCTCTGGTCTTCTCAGTGGACTGACGGAGTGTTTACACCACTGTGGCTGGTCTGCGGTCCATGTCCTCCTCCAGCTTCACCATCTTCTGCATGTCTTTGGCCTGGAGAATTACAGCAGACACACCATCACCATCAGATCCATCCATCCATCCATCCATTCATCCATACATCCACCTGTCATCCCTCCACCCATCAATCCCTCCATCCGCCATGCATCTATCAATCAATCCATCCATTCATTCATTCATCATTCATTCATTCATCCAGATCTGTTGTCTAGAATAAAAAAAAAAAAAAACGGTAACACTTTACACTTTACAAAGGTTTAACGTGTGATAACATTGGTTAGAAAAATGCTTGTGCAGCATTTATTGATCTTAGTTCATGTTAATTTCAACATTTACTAATGAATTATTAACATCTAAAGTTATATCTGTTAGTTTCATTTAATGTAAATTAACTAATGTTAACAATGATTATTAAATACTGAAACAAACGTCTAGCTTACTGTTAGGCAATACTTGTTGTATGCATGAACTAACATTAACAAGTGGGACCTTGTTATAAAGATGCTGTTCATTCATTCAGTCACTTGTTCAGAGCTATATTCAGTAACTAAATTAAAATGATTTTCATGTAAACTTCAAGCAAAAATCTTGGGTTCGTAATGAAGAGAAAAAAGTGGCTTGGCATATTCTTTTATTATCTAGCTGTTTTATAAAAAGAAACAATTAAAGTTAACACTTTACAATAAGGTCCCATTGGTTAATGCATTAGCTATCATTAACTAACAATAAGCAATACATTGTTACAGTATTTAATAATCATTGTTAACATTAGTGAATAAAATACAACGGTTAATTGTTGGTTCTTGTTAACAGTGTTTTAAAGTGTTACCTTCAACTATTTGAAAAACTTTTGTCCATCAAATCATTGGATGTGATGAAAGTAAAGCTACCACTTACTTACTCATCTGATGAGTCGTGAATCAATCTAACGACTCGATTCACTCACTGATTCCTTTCATCATGTCCAATTTAAAATGAGAGATGATTCTCTAAAATATCCCTTTTTGGAATCAGAATCAATATTGTTATATTTTCCATGATTCTGTCACCGACTCGATCGCATACTGAACGCTCTGTTCACCGTGGAGTGAATGCTGGATGCTGTAGGGAACACTTTCAAACGCTTGTGTTCAGTAACAGCGAGTGACTCACGGTGTGAAATGACTCATGTGGACAGTGATGAGTATCGTTTCATAACACAGGAACAACGGTGTGATGACAGTAAACCATACTGAGACTTTCAACAGGCTCATCTGAAGTGCTGCAATGACATGTTTAGTATACATAACTAATCAACTAACGAGCTCTTTATATAGAGTCTCGTCTGTGAGAGCAGCATGAGCTTGATTTGATTTGGAGCTCAACGTTCAATCGGCTGCCAGATGCCTGGCTTCTCTATGATGATTGGCCGAGCTGTCAAATGGGCGGGACATTACAACAAATGACCAATTGTGATGTCTGTGACAGACAGCATTTAATATTTTAGCTTCATATTTATACAATTAAAAAACAAGACTTTAGTTAATGCTCCTCGAGTATATGTATATTGATTGAATTGTGCTGGAAAACAAAGGCAGAAAGAGTGAGGAAGAACATGATGTTGTTGAGGATGTTTTTCTCCCTGTCTAGAATATTTGAGAAGCAGTAACCCTCATTAAGGCAGAAACGAGAATGATGAGTAAACTGAAGACAGAGGAAAGCCATGGTGAGCCTACCTGGAGTCTGACTGTTTGCATGATGGGATTTCAAAAGCTGTTCAAAGAAAAGGCAAATCATAATTTAAGGCATGGCTTCTGATGTCACACGTACAAAATATGAAAAATGGAGGAATGTGAAATCATGAGGTGGGTGACCATTCATTCATTTCAGCTAAGTGTTGAAGATCTAGCAGGTTTAGCTAGTAAACCCATTCCGTGTCAGTGAGGGCTGAAGGTTTTACCTGCTCATTGAACTTCTCGAGTTTCTCCAGCTGCTCACGCTGGTTCTTCTGCAGCTGCTCCAGCTCCTTCGCCTGCTTCATGGCCAGCTGAGACGAAGACACGGAAGAGCACGTCAACATCACGCCAACGTCACGCAAACATCATGTCAACACCACGCCAATGGCACACAAACATCATGTCAACATCACGCCAATGGCACACAAACATCATGTCAACATCACGCCAATGGCACACAAACATCATGTCAACATCACGCCAACGTCACGCAAACATCATGTCAACATCACGCCAACGTCATGTCAACATCACGCCAACGGCACACAAACATCATGTCAACATCACGCCAACGTCATGCAAACATCATGTCAACATCATGTCAATGTCACTTAAACAACACGACAACATCACTTCAACAAAACGTCAACATAACGTCAATGTCATGCCAATGTCACGTCAATGTCACGCTAAGGTCATGCCAATGTCGTGTCAACAATATCATGTCAACACCACGCCAAAGTTACGCAATCATGTCAACACCACGCCAAAATCACACCAATGTCACGCTAAGGTCACGCCAATGTCACGTCAACAACACCTAAATGTCACGTCAACGTCACTACAACACACCAACGTCACTTCAACAACACGCCAATGTCACGCCAACGTCAAGTCAATGGCACGCTAAGGTCACGTCAATGTCATGCTAAGGTCATGCCAATGTCACGCTAAGGTCACGTCAACAACACCTCAATGTCACGCCAACGTCACTTCAACAACAAGCCAACGACGTCAAGTCAATGTCACGCCAACATCACGACAACGTCATGTCAATCCAAAGTCACGTCAATGTCGCGACAACGTCACTTCAACAACATGTCAACATCACGTCAATGTCACGGCAACAAGATAATATATACAAAACAAAAAAATAAACTAAACAGGAAACAGGACTGTATATGGAAGCTTGTTTCTGCCACAGAATAAAACATAAAAAAGATAATTGCAACTTTTTTTTCCCCGCACTTGCAAATTTATATTTAACAATTCTGATTTTCTTTAGAACTGTGAGATATACACTCACAAATTCAATAAATTTGTTTTGAATTTTTAGATAAAAAGTCACAATTTTATTTTGTGGTGGAAACAAGCTCTCATACGGCTGATAATCGATTACATAAAGCCCGACTGATGCATCATTGATTCTGTTTATTACTGTGAAGCTGCTGTGAAACGACCTGTACTGTATAAAACGCTGTAGAAATAAAGCAGACTCGACTTCTTAAATCCATCATTTTAGTCTCAGACACTTAAAATGAAAATAAATAGAAGAAGAAGTTGCTTTCTCATGTTTCTCTCAGGATGATCAGCACTTCAACAACCCCTTCATAACCCCAGCCAAGAGCATCAACCAACCCGTTTTCTCTCCTCGAGGAACTTTTTGGTGTTGCTGCTGTTCAGCTCCCGAACTCTCCTGCACACACACACACACACACACACACACACACACACACAGAGGTCAGATCTGCAGGGGTCAGAGGGCCATCGTGGTGTTCTGTGGACCCGCACCTCTCGCGCTCAGCCTTGTTCTTGATGCTCTTGTCCTGGCTGATGGCTTTGCTGTTCTCCATGGACGTCTTCGCCTGGTTACCCTTCATCTCTTTGCTTTGCCTGTCAATCAAACAGAACAGGATCACGGTTCACGGTTATGAAACATCATGGAGAGCCAAGGCCTTTCTCATGGAGATCCTGCAGAACAAACGGAGAACGGGTTCACGCCGAGGGGAATTATCAGCATAATTAATAAAGACACTCGAGTTCAATAGAGACTCGCTCTCTGAAGACGCCCTCCTGGACTCATGCAACATTAATGCCTGTTAATTATGGCCGTATCTCCATCATAAAGAGGATAATACGGGCCCTGATGAAAATATTCATGACGGTATGAGTGTGGCTTGTTAATCAGATGAGAGTCATTAGCATACTACGCTTCACTGTAGACATGAATACGGTTCGCTATTCGGAACAGGGTGTGCGAATCTTTAGGTTGATTTGATTCACGATTCATAGGTTTCGCAAATTCAGAATTATTTGATCCGATTCATAATGAGATTCTATTCAATTTGATACTTGATGCTTCTTCCTAATGTTTTTCAGATCTATAGTTTTCCTATTTCTGGAAATAGCACAAAAAAAATGATGCATTTTTCCTCGTTTTCCACGGCCGTCACAAACCCAATCCAGACGCTACATTCGGTTTACTCAAAGCCTTCAATGCAATGCTCCTCTGCTCACCAACGCTTCATTTATTTGATAATTAATACAGAAAACCCCCCAGTAATATTACTAATATTATGCTGTAATATAAACAACATCATTACTCCAGTCTTCAGTGTCACATGATCCTTCAGAAATCTTTCTAATATGATGATTTTATGATCAAAAATACTCATTATTATTATCAACACATTGTTAAAACAAATGAATGTAGGCTTGGTGAGCAGAAAATACTTTTAAAAACATGAAAAATCTTGCCGATCCAAAACTTTTGTCTTGTAGTGTATCTAACAGCACAAATGTCCGTTTTAAGATCAGAGCGCATGCGTCAGCAGGATCTGCACTCGATGCACCGAGAGGCGTGTGTGTGTGTGTGTGTGTGTGTGTCCTCACCGCTCGTGGATGAGCTTGAGCTGCAGTGTTTGCTGGTCCTGAACGCTGGCCAGAAGCTTCTTCAAGACCTCGCACTGCTGCGTCACATGGGCGTCCCTCATCTCCTGCTCCTCTGTGCTGTGGCCGTTGATCATCTCGGACCACTCTTTAGTGTGCTGGGCCACCATGTCCTTCACCTGAGCACACACACCAAACACACTTCATGGAGATTTCGTTTGCCCTCATCCTCGCCTCGGGGCATTTTCACTGGGAAGTTTATTTTTTTAAATTGAGCGTTCATCGGAGGGGACCAAGACCGATGACTTTTGTTGCATTTGAATCGTGAACACAAAAATAAAAACTGAATGGATTTGAGGTTTGTGGTTGAAAGGTAGAAAAGAAACAAATCCTCCGGGAAGTTTTTTAATTTCAATATTCAAAATTTTTCAATAGTTAATTTCAATATTCAGATTCAAATTAAGAAAGCTAAAACATTTCCAAATTTTGTATTTTCTCTAATGTCTACATGTGTATCTGAATGCAGACTGAATGAACCGGCTTCAGGACCCAGCGCAACAGCTCCTCTGCTCCATATACAGATATAAGCCCATCCAGAGGCATGAAATATCATATATTATTATTATTTTCCCACAGGAGGTCAAAGACTCCCAGTGTAAGAGATGTAGAGCTGAGTTAAAAGAGGTATGCATGAAATTGTGAGTTTTTAAGTTGAAAGAATTTAAGGAACAACATGCTTCAATTACTATATATTAAATATTTATATTATATAAAATTGCATTAAAAAATAGAAAATAATTTATCAAAATAAATAAAACAAGACATTTTAACATTTTATGAAATAAAATAAGCTTTCTGGACGAAAAAGTCTATACGATCTATCGATTAAGGATCATTTTAGGGCTTCGGGTCATATTGACCCGCGAGGGGAGGGTTCGTTACAGGACGCGAGGGAAGCGTGAGAGTGTGAAAGCGCTCAGCATGTGAGTGTGTGAGTGTGTGTGAGTGCTCTTGATGATCAGTATGTAGATGTAGTGAGTAGAAGTGTTTCTGAATGCCAGTCTGCTGTCGTGTGTTCATTACGCTGTGCATTGAAGGGTCACTGATGTACGAACACAGTTTATGCACTAGTGTAACCTCATTTTCCTTGCATGCACATTAAGTAAATTATATTTTATTTTATTCAAGAACAATTGCGGTGCTTGATTTGGTTTACATTTGTTTATATGCGCTCGCTTGCGCCCTCTTGTGGCGTACAGTTCTGTTTCCTCTAACATTAAGTTTTGCCCTTAAAATTCGAACATTCATAGAATTGAGCTTTTCAGCCATTTTGCCAGCCCTGGTGGGATTTTCTCCAGTACCTTTTCTTTATGGTCTGTCGTGAGCGTCTCCACCTTTATCGCCGTTTCCTTCTTCAACTCGGAGCAGTTGTTTTCTCTGAAATCGAAAAGAACAAGTGTCACAGAAACATCATCAGCGAGCGCCGGACAGTGACATCATCAGCGAGTGCAGGACAGTGACATCATCAGCTCACCCTCTCTTCTTGATGGCCTTCTCCAGCAGCTTCTCCAGCGTCAGCTTCTCCTTGTCATGCTGAGCCACCAGTTTATCCACCTGCGAACAGTG